AAACTGGACCAAATATTGAAGCTATAGAAGATTTTCTACTTCCGGGTGGATCATCAAGACTATTGGTCCTCCCAACTGTCAATCATTCTGGTGATACGTGCTCGTCAAATAAGACCAGAGAGTTTTGTTCAAAAAGTAGAGAAGGCGGTTCTTCAATGCTGCTATTTAATATAATAATTTAAATTCATCTCAAGGGCCACTGGAAATGGTCTCGCGGGCCGGATCTGGCCCCCGGGCCTTGACTTTGACACCTGTGATCTACATCAAGCCCAGACCCTCACAGACCAAGGCCACGGCCACAGCCTACAACAAAACTCACAATCAATAACTCTTTTTGAATCCATCTTGTCTCTTGAAGTCTCTCCAGATTCAACCCCAGTCTCTACAAAGTTTAATTAAGTCAATATTTTTGTCAGCATTTGTGATTCTTCTGATATTACACATTTCCAGCTGAAGAAACCTTTCAGTAGAGCGAGCGGCACATCTCGTATTTCTTTGGTAACGTCAACAGCGCGTCATAACTGCCGAAGACGAACGCCGCGTGTGCATTTCCCTGTTGAGTTCTTGTAACCACTTAATCACGTGTGTATCAGGCTAATCATTGTAGCATCTTAAAAACAAGGCTTCTCTCTCCCAGCAGAGTCCCATTAAAAGGCTTAGGGAGCAGCTGCTGTGATGGAGGTGGTCCCAGGATTACCCATGATGCATCCTGTTTGTTTGACACGGCTGCTTAAAGCTCGCACATGCATCCACGGTTTGCAGGATGTCAAAGAGACGGACGCTTCGTGTTAAACCACTCGTAAGGAGTACGTTTACAAAGCACTAGTTTAAAGTGTTTTGGATTTTCATTAAAGGGCCCTAATCTGTCATCATTAAAGGGCCCTAATCTGTCATAATAATAAACTTCTCTTTTCCAATACTTCTTTAACTGATAACAGTAGTTCAGAGATATTTGAATTTATAAATTACTTTTCCAGCCCATAAATCTTGTTATTGTTTTCATTTCGATGTCCCGCCCTCCACCGTTTCACCAATCAGAAAGTCTGTGATCCGGGCGCCAGAACTCACCGCGTGGAGCTAATCTCACTGGTAAAGTACCATGTGGCGCAGAACTAAAAAAGGTCTCGTTATGATTCTCAAATCATTAACGACAAAAGAAGCAATAAAACCAGGATTTCTATCTTTGTGAAAAAGGTGTTGGTTATAGATTTGTTGTTGACAAAACTCTTGTCTATTCAGCTGTTATGGTCCCAGCTGGATTCGTCTGCATATCTGGCAACCTGAGTCAGGGAGAGTGGGAGAGGCTGCAGTACCACTTTTGGCCAGATTTTAAATATTGCTCCTTTAAATCCCTGATCCTTTACTTTTCCAATCCACTTTAACCGTGTAAAGCCACACATGCGGAGTGAGGTGTGAGATCCCAGTCTGTTTGGCAGAACTGGATCAAACCATTTCTCTGATTATGCTGATATGTAGCCACGTAAAGGGCAGCAGATGCACTTAAGAGCACAGGGACAAGTGCTCCGGTTTCCCCCACCACTAAAAACATGTACAAAGGGTCTGACATGCACCTCCAGTCTGCAACCTCGCTGTCTGTGTGGAGTGACAGACAAATGCCCACAATAGTAAAGCATTTGTGTCTCTGGTCTGTGAAAGGCGCTATATAATTAAAAATGACTTACTTACTTTCTCCTAATCTATCTTAGATTTTAGAAGAACCAAATAACAGGTAATTAAGCGGTGAGTTCCACAGTTTCGGACAGAGCAATGGAAATGAAATTCAAATTAATGATGAGATTGTTTTTACCATTTCCAAAGTTTGACAGCTGAGACAAAGTTATGAAATGTCCTTTTATTGTTTGTATGACTGTATGTGCTGCATTTTGTCACATGGCAGTTCACAATGTAGTCACAGTAAATACAAATACAGACTGTATGCAAGTTTACATTATTGTCATGTCATTGTCTAACCTGGCAAGAGCCAGATTGATGATCGTGTAGAACTCTACAATATCAATCTGGGACCTCTGCAGGAGAATCCTTTCGGGGAAAGGAGGGATAAGCAGCAGAATACTTCAAGCTGATTGGGCGAAGTGACGCTGTGTGGCCGCCTACCAAGGTTGCCGTCCAGAAATGCACAAAGCGCCTCTCGCTGTTCATCTTTCAAAAAAGAAATTGGAGATTCTGCTAAAACTGACTTGATAGCCTCAGCTACGCGTCCGTCCTCCTGCGTAGCCATGTTTGTTTTGCTTCGGCCCGGCACTTCTTGCTTTTGTCAAACCCGGATATCCCGCCCTAAACCCCCAGACTGGCGCGTGATTGGCTTGAACACCTAGATGTTCTACTCGAAAAGGGTTGGCGGGAGCAGGACAAGATGTATTCTCGAGTGTTTGTGAACTCACAAATACAGCGAGATTTCAGCTTGCAGGCAAGGTTAGTCATTGTCTACCCCTGTATTAATCAGTTTCTGGGTCAGGGGTGGCGGCAATCAGAGCTGCCCCAAGTCTCTTAGCACCAGTCCCTCTGATTCTCTGCAGGGGTCCACGGGAAGTTGGCTTCTCTTTGACCGAAGAGATGGCCTTGGTCTTTCAGCGAGGGCTTCAGGCAATGCGGGGTTCAGTGTCTTGCCCAAGGACACAATGACAGCAGACATTAGAGGGAGCAGGTTACATGGGTCGTGGGGGAATCGAACCCACGATCGTTAATTCCAACGTCCAGCAATCTACCAACTGAGCCACTGACGCCCCAACTTTACAAATATTTTTTTTTACATTCGCTCATTTCTTTCAGCTTTTTCAAATGCAGAAAATACAAAATACTTTCTGAGACGTCTTTGAGAATGTCACGAGGCTCCGGAGTTGGACTTCAGCTGGACTTATGTAGACCGGGATCAGAGAGGTCAGACTGTAATGCTCCCAGAAAGACCCTATGTTTATTTCATTTTGTTCTGACATATTCTCATCCTGCGTTTATCTACTCCATGAAACAACATTGTCCTTCATCTAAAACACACCTGGAGATGTTTTTACCTCCCTCCATGCTCTCATCTGTAACTCCTGCAGCTTTCTCAGAACATAAAACTGAAGCTAAGACCAATATTACGAACAATGTTGAACTATGATTAAAAGCTCGTCTCTCCAGCTAAAAAAACGTAGCGGAAATGTTCTTTTATCCTCTGTTTTAATAGTAGTGACAGACGGATAAATGATACAGTAGAACAGCACAGGCAGGTAGTAATTATTATTTTTCTAAGCGTGCCGGTGAACACGGCGACAGCGAGTCCATTCTTGCAAACAATGGGAGCTGTCGCAGAAACCAGACAAAAATCATTCAACACAAAAATCTCAAAAAGCAAGATTTGTTCAGTTCCTCAAGACTTCGTGAGTTGAGCACAAGCAGAAAATATTAGGATGTAAAATGATGTATAGTTGTAGAGAATGTGGGTTAGGGTTAGATGTACAGTATAAGTGTGTATTTTAGTTGAGTGGTGTTGAAATACTGGCTTTTCATGTGTTGGTTTTTTTGATTATGTGTTTGTAAAAAGTTCATTTTGTCTCATGTTTAATTAAGGCTCAGACGGTTCTTGTATAGTCTTAATATCTATCAATATTGGTCTCATTAAAAGAACCTTCTAAGCTTTTTTAATTGTTTGTTAAAGATATGTTCAAAGTCTGGACCTCTGCTTCATGTGTGCCTCTGTGTCTACCCTTTTTTCAATGTCAATCCATCCATTTGCTTCCGCTTCATCCGTTGCCAGGTCGCGGGGGCAGCAGTCTAAGCACAGACTCCCCCATCCACACACTTCCTCCAGCTCGTCCGGGGGACCCCAAGTCGCTCCCAGACCAAAGAGAGACATAGTCCCTCTCTGTCCTGGGTCTTCCCTGGGGTCTTCTCCCTGTTCTTTTCAATGTAACGTCAATATTTACGATTAATTAAAGGTACACTGTGTAGTTTTACATCCATCTAGTATTGAGATAGAAACACCTTTCTGTCCCTTATCCACCACCGTATATCAAGATGGCGGACATGAAGAGTCCTCCAGCCTCATGGACATTTATAAGTCAAATTCTAAGTCTATGACAACAATTCAAAAACTTGGTGTGGATAAATATTCTTTTAAAGGTCACATTTGTTATTGGTTAAGATTTGTTTTCATTTGGATCAACTGTAAAAACTACACAGAGTACCTTTAATGCCTTATGTCTTATGCGCTTTGAGTTTCCTTGTCAATGAACTGTGTATACAAATAAACTTGCCTTGCCTTTGTCCATGATGTTTCTCACTTTTTCCCACTGGGTTCTTTAAAGGCTTCAGGAGGACGTGACGATCCAGGACATTTATGGACATTTATGGACATTGGTCTCTGCCCTTATGGACCAATGGTTCTATGTGCTTTTTATCGTTGCATTTCCTGTGTTTGAACTGTTTTCTCTGATCTGTGTTGGCGAATCAACAACTTTGTAAAGTGCTCAGAGATTTAGGACTTTTCAAAAATACATTGAATTGAATTGATTTCATTGTTCTTCCCTCCTCTGCAGGCTGTAGTCCTGTCCTGTTTAGATTTTGTGTTGTATTAAACAGACTGTGGGTGACTTCACACCTGCAAACCACTCCAAACAAACGGACGAATCACCATTTCAATCCTGCAGATGTCTGTGTCTTGGCAGTTGACAGATTTGCCCTGCTGTTTTTCCTGTCATCAATATTTACTTTGCCTTTAAAGGAACAGATGTGTCGGTCTAACACAGGCTCGTTCGCCACAAAAACCTAAATTACAAATGTCACTTTATCGCTCCGTCTCCTTTGGTCTAATGCTATTTCTCCATCACTTCTGACTCTGTTGCAATCAGATGTAAGATATACAGAGTGGTGAGTCCAAGTATTGTATAACACATCTCTCTCCCTCTCTCTCTCTCCCTCTCTCTCTCTCTCTCCACAGATTTTATTTAATCAGTGGTGGGGTGCCCCTCATCATCTGCGGGGTCACGGCAGCCGTCAGTATGGACAACTATGGCAGCGGGGAGCAAGCACTATAGTAAGTCTGAGTTTATTCCTGATCTCAAGGTCAAATCTCAGCATATTTCAAACGCTCCAGCTCCATATGCTTTTCCTGGAGGATCTTCCATTAACAAAACACTTTATACAATGTGTTATGTGCATTTAAAAGAGGTATTTCTGGATCCAGAGAAGTATTTGAACTGTGCAATGCATTGTGTGACTGTGTCAAACTGATCTCTCCTGTCTCTGTGCTCAGCTGCTGGATGGCCTGGGAGCCCAGCCTGGGGGCCTTCTTTGGCCCCGTGGCCCTCATCCTCCTGGTCACGTGTATCTACTTCACCTGCACCTTCATCCAGCTGCGGAAGCATCCAGAGAAGAAGTACGAGCTGAAGACGCTGTGTGAGGAGCAGCAGCGTCTGGCTGCTATCGATGTACCCCCCCACTGCCACCAGGGGGCAGAGCCGGGGGCCCCGGCCCCTGGGAGCCACTGTCCTGCAGGCTGTCCGGGAATCCCCATCAACCCTGCGCTGTTGGCCAATGAGCACTCGTTCAAGGCGCAGCTGCGCACCGCGGCCTTCACGCTCTTCTTGTTCCTTGCCACCTGGACGTTCGGGGCGCTGGCCGTGTCGCAGGGACACTTCCTGGACATGATCTTCAGCTGTTTGTACGGCGCCTTCTCCGTGACACTCGGCCTCTTCGTCCTCATCCATCACTGCGCCAAGCGCGACGACGTGTGGCACTGCTGGTGCTCTTGCTGCCCCAGTCGCCGCAGTAACCCTTGCCCCGCCCCCCAAGGTCCCGTGGCTCCGGCTCGGCCCAAAGTGAACGTGAACGGAGACACGACGGGACACGCAACCTGTCACCACTGTCACCATGACAACACTGCGTGTAAGGCGGTGCTGAGCTGCCGCTGTAAACACCAGAACCATGTGACGTGTGTGGCTCCCGCGACGCCCTGCTGCGGTGCGCTGCACACGCAGCAGCTGCTGGACGAGGAGCCGGGGGCTACACACGTCCTGCTGCACTCGGACCCTGAGGGCCTTCAGCTGCACCCCTGTCTAAAGAGCAGCAGGACTAAAATCCGCAGCCTGGGCCGCCGCAGCGCCGCTGCCCCCTGTGGCGCAGAGCGGGAGTACGCCTTCCACATCAGTGGAGACGCGGGCAGCGTGCACAGCTCCCACACTGACAGCCCTCACAGCACACAAGAGCGCCACCACGTCTGCCCACACCTGCAGGAGCGCCACAGCTGCCACACGGCCTGCCACAACCCCTGCCACAACCCCTGCCACCGGCACATGTGCTGCGCCAAAGCAGAGCTGTTCCCCTCGCTGTGCCCCGCCGAGCCCGACACAGGCGTTTTCCTGTGCGGCTGCGGCAAAGTGGCCGATGAGGAGGCCGCTCATCACCACCTGGAGATGCACGCGCCGCGCAGACAATCTTTTCCCCAGATCCCGCCCAATCAGAACGGAATACTCAAGGGTGGGCTCCATGAAGGACTGCTGTACTCGTCCGACAGTACGGGGAATATACGCACTGGACCCTGGAAGAACGAAACTACTGTGTAGTCGGAATTTACCCAAATATCCCCCTCCTCAGAGAACAGGATTTAACTGTGGATTCATCACAATCAGTGTGGGATATGTTTTCTTTTGGTTTTTTCTCCTTTTTTTTTGGCGTCATGTTTTTTTTCTGTGTGCCGTTTTACTGTACAGTAATGAAATAAGTGCCCACTAGAGGGCGCTGTTACATCTACGGACCAGAATCTTTTCCATCCATGTGTCCCATGTTCCTGAAGGTATCTCTGCTCCATGTTACTACAGATCTATATATTCAAGAACATGAATGGTGTGTGTTTGTATCTGTGTGTTAGTGCTCAAGGCAACTCGCTGCAAGATTTTATACTCTACGGACCACAATAATCTGAGATGACAGTGCACCTCCAGTACTTTGACAAACTGATGGCAACCACGTTTTAGAAAACTAAACCAGCAATTTTAGACTCCATGGGTATTTTTGTCATTCAGTCAAGCAACTGTGAATAACTCCTAGATTGTTTTTTGTTTTCCGAATACTATACAAAGATACTGTCGCTTGCAAAGAGCTGTGTGGATGCCAGGTATGAAAAAAATCCCACTCATGAAAAGATTAGGCATCCAGGTTTCTCTTGACCGTGCGTCTGATGTCTCCGCTGATGTTTCTGATGTTTCCGAGGAGTAAAAACAGCAGCAGTGGTTTTGGAATAGTGCGTCTGTGGATGAAGAGTTGTTATTTATTCAGTTGGTCACACTGTGCAGCAGATAGCCAGGTTTTAATTCCCAAACAGTTCTTTTTCCCCTGTCCTTGCGTCACAAAGCAAACACCAGAACGACAGCTGAAGGGCGAAGCATTACTGAACAACTGCCTGTGTCTTATTACCTTTAAAGAACCAGAAGTCTGTTGGATTTTCATTTCTTCTCCATGATCGTTGATTTACGAAGCATGCACGCTGTTGTACAAAGCTATGTTTATTTTTCAGTATATACAAATGATTTGCCTTGACCTGATGATACTGCTGCAGCTTGATATTGTTCTTTCATTTCTTTCCAAACAAAATAAGAAGAATTTTCCCCAAACTCGCTCTTTCTGGACTGCTGATGAAATGGACAGTGCAAATCCCTAGGAAACAATACATGAAATATATAACTGCTTTAAATAATAATAAAAAAAAATCTGCCAAAAGAACAAGAAAATATTACTCTAAAAATAATAAAATAATACTGGCCCCAAAGACTTGATTCTAGTTTAAAAACACACATTTCAGCTTTTATTTACCTGATAAAAGATTTCTTAAAACATAGCATAAAACATAGCTGAGTGGTTAGCATTCTCGCCTCTCAGCAAGAAGGTCCTGGGTTCGAATCCCGGATGGAAAACAAAGGAAAAAAATTATTAGGGGGGGGGGGTCATGGTCTGAGTGGGAGTTTGCATGTTCTCCCTGTGCTTGCGTAGGTTTTTCTCCGGAACTCCGGTTTCTCCTACCACCTAAAAACATGCTCACATAGTATTATAATCCGCCAGCTCTTGGTCCTGACTCAAGCTCGAGCATCAACATCTGGCGATGGGTTCCCGAGCGCTGTTACTACGGCGACCACTGCTCCTGACGTAAGCCTTAGTGGCATCAGGATGGGTCAAATGCAGAGGATTTACCTTTTTAACAAACTTATTTTATCTAAACCAAAAAAGTCTGGAAATACTTAAAACAAGCTTCAAAAACTCACTGCTCCGACTATTTTTCTCATAAGATTATGAAGTATTATTATCTTAAAACAAGGCAAATAATTTTACATGACATACTACTTATTTTTAGTAATAAATCTTACCCTTCCTGAGAGCAGCAGAGAGGAGGAGCCATACAGTAGGTTCTGTATCGCCTTCCTGAGGGCAGCAGAGAGGAGGAGCCATACAGTAGGTTCTTGTATCTCCTGAGGGCAGCAGAGAGGAGGAGCCATACAGTAGGTTCTGTATCTCCTTCCTGAGGGCAGCAGAGAGGAGGAGCCATACAGTAGGTTCTGTATATCCTTCCTGAGGGCAGCAGAGAGGAGGAGCCATACAGTAGGTTCTGTATCGCCTTCCTGAGGGCAGCAGAGAGGAGGAGCCATACAGTAGGTTCTGTATCTCCTTCCTGAGGGCAGCAGAGAGGAGGAGCCATACAGTAGGTTCTGTATCTCCTTCCTGAGGGCAGCAGAGAGGAGGAGCCATACAGTAGGTTCTGTATCTCCTGAGGGCAGCAGAGAGGAGGAGCTATACAGTAGGTTCTGTATCTCCTGAGGGCAGCAGAGAGGAGGAGCCATACAGTAGGTTCTGTATCTCCTTCCTGAGGGCAGCAGAGAGGAGGAGCTATACAGTAGGTTCTGTATCTCCTGAGAGCAGCAGAGAGGAGGAGCTATACAGTAGGTTCTGTATCTCCTGAGGGCAGCAGAGAGGAGGAGCCATACAGTAGGTTCTGTATCTCCTGAGAGCAGCAGAGAGGAGGAGCCATACAATAGGTTCTGTATCTCCTTCCTGAGGGCAGCAGAGAGGAGGAGCTATACAGTAGGTTCTGTATCTCCTTCCTGAGGGCAGCAGAGAGGAGGAGCCATACAGTAGGTTCTGTATCTCCTGAGGGCAGCAGAGAGGAGGAGCTATACAGTAGGTTCTGTATCTCCTTCCTGAGGGCAGCAGAGAGGAGGAGCCATACAGTAGGTTCTGTATCTCCTTCCTGAGGGCAGCAGAGAGGAGGAGCCATACAGTAGGTTCTGTATCTCCTGAGAGCAGCAGAGAGGAGGAGCCATACAATAGGTTCTGTATCTCCTTCCTGAGGGCAGCAGAGAGGAGGAGCTATACAGTAGGTTCTGTATCTCCTGAGAGCAGCAGAGAGGAGGAGCTATACAGTAGGTTCTGTATCTCCTGAGGGCAGCAGAGAGGAGGAGCTATACAGTAGGTTCTGTATCTCCTTCCTGAGGGCAGCAGAGAGGAGGAGCCATACAGTAGGTTCTGTATCTCCTGAGGGCAGCAGAGAGGAGGAGCTATACAGTAGGTTCTGTATCTCCTTCCTGAGGGCAGCAGAGAGGAGGAGCCATACAGTAGGTTCTGTATCTCCTGAGGGCAGCAGAGAGGAGGAGCTATACAGTAGGTTCTGTATCTCCTGAGGGCAGCAGAGAGGAGGAGCCATACAGTAGGTTCTGTATCTCCTGAGGGCAGCAGAGAGGAGGAGCTATACAGTAGGTTCTGTATCTCCTTCCTGAGGGCAGCAGAGAGGAGGAGCCATACAGTAGGTTCTGTATCTCCTTCCTGAGGGCAGCAGAGAGGAGGAGCCATACAGTAGGTTCTGTATCTCCTGAGAGCAGCAGAGAGGAGGAGCTATACAGTAGGTTCTGTATCTCCTGAGGGCAGCAGAGAGGAGGAGCCATACAGTAGGTTCTGTATCTCCTGAGAGCAGCAGAGAGGAGGAGCCATACAGTAGGTTCTGTATCTCCTGAGGGCAGCAGAGAGGAGGAGCCATACAGTAGGTTCTGTATCTCCTTCCTGAGGGCAGCAGAGAGGAGGAGCTATACAGTAGGTTCTGTATCTCCTTCCTGAGGGCAGCAGAGAGGAGGAGCCATACAGTAGGTTCTGTATCTCCTTCCTGAGGGCAGCAGAGAGGAGGAGCCATACAGTAGGTTCTGTATCGCCTTCCTGAGGGCAGCAGAGAGGAGGAGCCATACAGTAGGTTCTGTATCTCCTTCCTGAGAGCAGCAGAGAGGAGGAGCCATACAGTAGGTTCTGTATCGCCTTCCTGAGGGCAGCAGAGAGGAGGAGCCATACAGTAGGTTCTTAATCTCCTGAGGGCAGCAGAAAGGAGGAGCCATACAGTAGGTTCTGTATCTCCTTCCTGAGGGCAGCAGAGAGGAGGAGCCATACAGTAGGTTCTGTATCTCCTGAGGGCAGCAGAGAGGAGGAGCCATACAGTAGGTTCTGTATATCCTTCCTGAGGGCAGCAGAGAGGAGGAGCTATACAGTAGGTTCTGTATCTCCTTCCTGAGGGCAGCAGAGAGGAGGAGCTATACAGTAGGTTCTGTATCTCCTTCCTGAGGGCAGCAGAGAGGAGGAGCCATACAGTAGGTTCTGTATCTCCTTCCTGAGGGCAGCAGAGAGGAGGAGCCATACAGTAGGTTCTGTATCTCCTGAGGGCAGCAGAGAGGAGGAGCTATACAGTAGGTTCTGTATCTCCTGAGGGCAGCAGAGAGGAGGAGCCATACAGTAGGTTCTGTATCTCCTGAGGGCAGCAGAGAGGAGGAGCCATACAGTAGGTTCTGTATCTCCTGAGGGCAGCAGAGAGGAGGAGCCATACAGTAGGTTCTGTATCTCCTGAGGGCAGCAGAGAGGAGGAGCCATACAGTAGGTTCTGTATCTCCTGAGAGCAGCAGAGAGGAGGAGCTATACAGTAGGTTCTGTATCTCCTGAGGGCAGCAGAGAGGAGGAGCCATACAGTAGGTTCTGTATCTCCTGAGGGCAGCAGAGAGGAGGAGCCATACAATAGGTTCTGTATCTCCTTCCTGAGGGCAGCAGAGAGGAGGAGCTATACAGTAGGTTCTGTATCTCCTTCCTGAGGGCAGCAGAGAGGAGGAGCTATACAGTAGGTTCTGTATCTCCTGAGGGCAGCAGAGAGGAGGAGCTATACAGTAGGTTCTGTATCTCCTGAGGGCAGCAGAGAGGAGGAGCCATACAGTAGGTTCTGTATCTCCTTCCTGAGGGCAGCAGAGAGGAGGAGCCATACAGTAGGTTCTGTATCTCCTTCCTGAGGGCAGCAGAGAGGAGGAGCTATACAGTAGGTTCTGTATCTCCTGAGGGCAGCAGAGAGGAGGAGCTATACAGTAGGTTCTGTATCTCCTTCCTGAGGGCAGCAGAGAGGAGGAGCTATACAGTAGGTTCTGTATCTCCTGAGGGCAGCAGAGAGGAGGAGCTATACAGTAGGTTCTGTATCTCCTGAGGGCAGCAGAGAGGAGGAGCTATACAGTAGGTTCTGTATCTCCTTCCTGAGGGCAGCAGAGAGGAGGAGCTATACAGATGTCGAGTCTTGCAGCGCGGATTACAGAACATGACCAGGATGTGCAATCTCCATCCCCTGTTACCTAGAGACACTGGAGGTGGAGTTGAAGAGATACAAAGTGCTAATGAAGACGATCATATGTTGAGTGTTTGAAGCCAGAATATCAAAGAAATTAACGAGAGCAATGTGCTTTAAAACTTATGAGTATGAGCTTTTGACTGCGGTGACAGCTCCACTCTTTGCTTTTACTTTGTGAGCTGTAACTTTTTGGACGCTCAAAGACGCTTCACATTATTATTCTTTCACTCCATGCACGGTGGGTTATACCTGAGACTGTAGACCCAGGACCGAGGCTGTAGACCCAGGACTGAGGCTGTAGACCCAGGACTGAGGCTGTAGACCCAGGACTGAGGCTGTAGACCTAGGACCGAGGCTGTAGACAAAGGACTGAGGCTGTAGACCCAGGACTGAGGCTGTAGACCCAGGGCTGAGGCTATAGACCCAGGGCTGAGGCTGTAGACCTAGGACCGAGGCTGTAGACCCAGGACTGAGGCTGTAGACCTAGGACCGAGGCTGTAGACAAAGGACTGAGGCTGTAGACCCAGGACTGAGGCTGTAGACCCAGGGCTGAGGCTGTAGACCCAGGACTGAGGCTGTAGACCCAGGACTGAGGCTGTAGATCCAGGACCAAGGCTGTAGACCCAGGACTGTAACCGCAGCTGCCCTGGGACACAAACAGATAGTTCAATTATTTATGTATATGAATTTAGGACAGTCAATCAGTGAGTCTGCAAACAGTGTCAACATTAATATGCGCGAACTAGCACAATAGCTTCATAGCATCCATTGTCCTAAGGCAGGTAATAAACACACACACACACAGTTAGGTAAATACAAACCATAAGTCGACAATCACAACATAACCAAGAGAAAGAGAAAGAGATAGTCCAAGGAAGAGCAGATCTTCATGTATTGGAGCATGACTATTTTGATTCCAACCAATGTTTCAGGACTTCTTTAAGCGTTACTACTGGTTTGCTGCATGAAATTCACTTTTAGGACAGAATCAGTTCAAATACATAGAAATCACAGTTGTTTTAAATGTTAGGTAGATCCGAGAGTTTCGCAAGACCTACTTAACATTTAATCCTAACATCAGCCCCGACCACCACCAACCATTCTGAGCAATGTGAGTAATATGTTACTTTGAGTCACCAATGCACTTGGACTGATAACACCTGCACCGCTATTGCCACTCCTACTCTTCTTATTGTACATAATTATATCCTGAACAGACTATAATTTTAACTTTTAACATGTTTCACACTTCTGTCTTTTGCACAATCTGAGTAGTTATATCAGTGCCACATAAGTCTGTCTTATCTTGCCGAAGGTCACTACAGTTTGGCACTTTACAGCCGCAGCCGCCCCACTGTGGCACCTGGCGTTCCCAGAGGTCTCCCATCACCGCACTAACCAGACCCTGCTCTAATTAGCTTCCGATGTCTGACAGGAATCTGGGTTTCCCATGCGAGCGCCGCCACTTTCTTTTGATTTGACCAAACACAGAGAGAGAGCTTGACACTAATTGCAGTAATATTTTTTTTTTACTCTAACTATAAAAAACATATGACTTCATTCTCACGTCATTTTGACTGCTCACTGCTTCATAACTACTGTTTTGTTCGTTCTGTCGTTAAATGATTTCAGGAAATGACATTATCCCCTTATTTCTTACTCATATAAAATGCACAAACTTACCGACCGGTTCAAGATTTCTTCCCTTCTGTCCACCCACTCACTCCCCGCCCCACGCTGTCCTTAAATCCCCTTCCAATTGAAAGGCTCTCGTGCTAAAATGAAGTTTGTTTTTCTGGCAATACTCGCCATTGTTGATCCTGAAGCGGAGCCAAAGAGAGCAATATGGTTCGCGTCCCACAGTAGCAGCGGGAGTGAACGAGCAACATCTTTGGTCCCTGAATAACTCATGAAGGCAGCAGCAGTGGCAGAGTAGTCGGCCCTTCGAGCGGCTTCTCTGGGAGGCTGCCAGGTGTCGGCGACAAAACAGCGATAGGAGACAAGCCGACGGCAAGTGGAGGATAAATACCTCATACGACTGCTATTAGAGACAGTTAATAACGGGTCAGCGCCGGTTCAGGACAATCAGCTGTCTGCGGAATCTACATGGACCTTATGGAGGGTTATTGTGCCTTTACTGTATCTAAAAATATATGAGGAAGATTCTCCTACAGGGATCAATAAAGTATCTGTCTGTCTGTCTGTCTGTAATTCTGCACTATATATAGATATATTTTGAAAGACTGATATTGAAGCATTTACAGCTAGCTAAGAAATTATTTTATATATTTTGTGTGCTCCCTGGGTCTCTTACCTCTGTCCTGTCTGTGCGCTGCAACACTGAAATTTCTCCCACTGTGGGACGACTGAAGGAACTTTATCAAATCTTTTCTTATCACCCCCATTGCCCTAGAATGAGTCTGGTGTGTGTGTAAATGGTTGGTGGTGGTGGGAGGAGCCGATGGCACAGACTGGTTGCCTCGCTTCTGTCAGTGTGCCCCAGGGCAGCTATGGCTACAGTAGTAGTTTATCACCACCGCTGTGTATGCAGTGAAATAAGAAGGATGTGAGGCGTCTGTGAATGGCCTGAAACGCGCTGTATGAAACTGATGCGCCTTTACCTTTCACACCTCAACAATGATAACCGTGTAATAAAATCCATCAAACTGATTCTCGCTCTGGTTCTATCTCTAGATTAACTTGTATACTTTAGTTTTGGCCTCTGTCACTTATTCAAATAAGCTTTGAATAACCTAGAAAAAGAGTAGGCCACCCTCACTCGGTCCATCAGCTCAAACCATTGAACAGTAATTCACAAAGCTCGTTCTTACAAGTATTAACCAAAATATGAAATGTTTTTTATGAGTTGATGACAGAATCTTACAGTTAACATAATTATGGAAAAAAGGTGTAGTACCACATATATAAAAACAATTAACCAGTAAAGATACAAACAGAAAATAAAATATCTCAAATGTATTTGTGAGAGATTACGTTTGGCAAAAATGTGCTCATGTGTAATGTATAGTAGCAGTCATATTTACAATTTAATCTCCAAGTATCCAGTTATAGTAATATAATCCAAAGTTAAATCAGATAAATATACAGTGTGTATTTATTTCAGGCAAACACACAAACAAAACAAAAAAACATGTGCAACAAATAAAAAACGAATGTTAAAGCATGTAGACTAAGACCAACGTGGTCGGACCGGTTTGGGAGCAAAGCTGAATAAAAAGTCTTTGTTTGCGCACTCTGTATTCATATATTTTGCTACTGTTATCAGAACTGAAAAGCTGTCTTCATAATGTGTTGAACTCAATCAAAACTTTCCAAAACAAGATGAAGCATTGATCCTTTTCCCTCTAAAACCATTGCTTTATCGTTGCTCTCTTATGGACTGTCTGCAGCAGAGCTATTAGTGCAGATGAGGGCTCATTAGTGCAGCTGCTAAAGGTGCGTTTGGACATGACAGCAGACGTTAACACCGAGCTGCAGCAGTCAGATAGCATTCATCACTGTCAAACACGCTCCTAATGCTACATCTGACCTCCGGGAACGGACAAACGTGCTTCTTCATGCACTTCCCACAGAATCAAAGTCATTAGCCAAAGCACCAGCCACTTAGCCTGGTCTTACCATGTGTAAACTCTGGTCCATGGTTATTTCCTACATGTACGTCTGGGTCTTACCATGTGTAAACTCTGGTCCATGGTTATTTCCTACATGTACGTCTGGTCTTACCATGTGTAAACTCTGGTCCATGATCATTTCCTACATGTACGTCTGGTCTTACCATGTGTAAACTCTGGTCCATGATCATTTCCTACATGTACGTCTGGTCTTACCATGTGTAAACTCTGGTCCATGATCATTTCCTACATGTACGTCTGGTCTTGAGTCGATCAGTCCTGTTTATTAGGATTAGGATTGGCATGGCGTCGGCTGCTGTGAGTGGTTTGGGAGGCTCCACTCACGAGCACAAATCGGCACATATTGCCGCTTTTACAGTCCCCTACCAGCTTACAATTGGTATTTTAAAGTTGTGGCACAAAGCTTTGTATGATATTTTCAAATGCTTTCTCAAACAAAAGAGAAACCGCAAACACGAGCATGACAACTACCACGTTGCAGCTTTTGCTACCTGTTGCGCCCTGGCGCTTATGCCTGTACTGTTCATCTGCGATGTACCAACTAAAGCGGGTGAAAATACGAACAACCGTGCTGCCGCTGATCAAGATCCACTTGGCATTTTGGGTGAGAAAGCCAAACAAATTTTTTTTGGATTTGGCTATGCTACCATCTTCTCCCACACCTCTGCTGCAAATGAAGTACAGGCAGCCAAAAGACCAAACCAACGCAACTGCATGAGCAAGCAAAAGAACGCTCCTCCAAGAGTAATGAAAACTCTACTGTTGATGCTACTTCTGTCGGGAGATGTACACCTAAATCCCGGGCCTCTACATAAAGATGATGAACTCAAACACACCTTGGAACAACAGCACCAAGCTAACGATTCGATTCCGGAAGTTAATGAGACAATAAATACACTCTTTCTGACTAACAATAAAACATGTGTATCACAAATATTCACGCCTCTGCAAGATAAGATCAACTCGCATAGCGACGTCGTTTTGACCAATGTGGGTGAGACGGGTCATCACGTCTCGCAAGTGGACACTGCAGTAGACGTGTTTTTTCCTGTTGCTGTTGCTGAATCCGCTGGGGCATCTGGACATCTGAGTACATCCATCTGCGGGCTGGACGAAGCAGTTGCGAACACTGCCATGCTGGAACCGCAGCAGATACGGGGCCCTAACTCCAACGAAGAGCGGAGCTTCGGAGTGTGCCATCCAGTACCAGCAACAGAATCACAAAACAACGGCGTCTGTAGCTCGGAATTGCACAGGGCGGTAAGTTTTGATCTACAAGGAGCATACATTACAATAGATGCAGAATGCAAACAACGACGGCAACTCATAAGGACCAAAAATCCAAATCGCGCAGCGCTCAAGCAGAAAGAGCTGAAGATCTTCCAAACTGTAAATCATGCCCAGATTATTTGGAATCCCCAAACAAAACCAAAGGGGATGTTAGGAGGACACATTAATATAAGGAGTATTCTACCAAAAATAGATCAAATTAATAGACTGTTAACTGACTCTAACTTGGATTACCTATGTGTGACTGAGAGTTGGCTGAATTCATCCACTCCAACAAACCTGATCAACATACCTGGTTACAAGTGTTACAGGAGAGACAGGGACCAAGGACGGGGTGGGGGTGTGCTATTATACATTAAAGAAATATTTAAATGTGAGAAAGTTTACATTGATGTGAAACTGGAATGCCTGGGGCTAAATGTAATTCTGTCTACAACAATGAAATTTAAATTAATCGTTATCTACAATCCACCCTCACATGGAGCCACTTTCTATGATGATTTTGAGAGTCTCCTATTGAATGTTGATAAATGTACTGAATGTATAATTATGGGTGATTTCAATATAAATTGGCAGGAGAAAAAAAGCAGAACAAAGCTGAAATCTTTGATGGATAAATTCAAATATAAGCAAATGATAAACAAACCTACTAGAATCACCAGACACAGCGAAACATTGATTGACTTGATTTTTGTAAATAGACCAGAAAGAATAACTAAAACATATAACCTGATAACAGGGCTTACCGATCATAATATGACATTAGTTGTCAGAAAGTTAACTAAAAAGCGTCTCATTAATCATAACAAAGCAGAGAACAAAATGAAAACAACAGGAATTCCCAAAGCAAAAATAAATGATTTTGAAAATGAGTTAAACCAAATTAATTGGAACAGTGTTACTGCGGAGTCTGATTTAAATTTGAGTGCATCCAATTTTGTCACTAAATTAAATTATGTAATAAATAAACACACACAAAGCTGGACAAGTAAACCAAGAAGGTATTCTCTTCCGTGGTTCAATAGTGACATTTGGCGAATGGCTAAAAATCGTGACCTTGCACTCAAAAAGTTCTTCAAATCTAGGTATAATACCGACCATCTCATTTTCACTGGCCTCAGGAATAAAGTCACAAGTGAGCTGCGCAAAGCTAAAACTAAATATTTTATAAAAATGATAGAAGAAGCAAATGGAAGCAGCTCCAAACTATGGCAACATATAAACAAATTGACAAATTCTAATCGGAAAAATCTTCAAATGACAGATTGCCTTAAAATTGATGATAATTATGTTAATGACAATCAGTCAATTGCAAACGAGTTCAACAAATTCTTTGTTGAATCAGTCCACGATCTTGCCAAACCATTCAAGGGCAAATTGCCTTCTGAGAGCAAAGCTCAGCGTAGCAGTACAGATCATTTTAAAATCAGAGAAGTTTTGCATGATGAAGTAAGGAAAATTATAGTCAATATGAAAAATTCTACATCAAGAGACATACATAATCTCAATGTAGCTCTAATTAAAAAACATCTAAGCAGCTTACTTGATCCTATAACTTACCTTGTAAACTTGTCAATACAAACAAACACTTTCCCACAGAGCTGGAAGATTGCTGTAATCACTCCAATTTATAAGTCAGGCGACAAAGACCAAGCCTGCAACTACAGGCCTATTTCCATTCTTCCTGTAGTTTCCAAAGTGCTGGAAAAAATTGTAGCTGGGCAATTAATAGAACATCTTGATAATAACCAACTGTTGCATCCCCAGCAGTTTGGGTTCAGACAAAAATACAGCACAGAAACAGCCAACTGCTTTTTGTTGGAACAGATCAAAGGTTCACTGGATAAAGGGAATGTCGTAGGCGCTGTGTTTTTAGATCTGAAGAAGGCCTTCGACACAGTGGACCATTGCATCTTATTGCAGAAATTACAGCAATTTCAATTTTCAGCTACAGCTCTGTCATGGTTTGAGTCCTACCTGGAGGGTAGAGAACAATGTGTGAAAGTAGGAAGCGTTAAATCCACCCTGAGTCCAAATGACTTAGGAGTGCCTCAAGGGTCAGTCCTAGGACCGTTGCTATTTTCAATGTATATAAATGATCTCCCAGATTGCTGTCAGGGTGTAAACTGCCAGCTTTATGCTGACGACACAGTTATTTATGTGTCAGCAAAAACATCTGCACTGGCTGGGCAGCTGTTAACACAGGCTTCACATAACATCTCAAGATGGCTTCAACTGTCCCATTTAACTTTAAATGTAAAGAAAACATTCTCAATATGTTTCTCTATCAGCCGGAGGTCCCCTGATAGCACCTTTGAGGTTCAATTAGAACATGAACCCATTCAGGAGGTTCATGAAACAAAATACTTGGGCATTATCTTAGATAAACACCTGAAGTTCCAAAGTCAAGCAAATAACGTCTGCAGGAAAGTCAAATCAAATCTGAACTGTTTTCGTTTTATAAGAAGAGAGTTATCACATCACGCGGCTTTATTGTATATGCACGCAATGGTTTTTTCACATCTGTCATACTGCATTACAGCATGGTCACAAACATCGGCATCCACTCTGAAACCAGTCACCTCTCTGTATAAACAGGCAATTAAGATATTCGACAAGAAACCTTTGAGATGGCATCATTGTGATATCATACAAAAGCACAAGCTTTTTACTTTTGAAAACTTTATAAATTTTAGTATAATGAAATTGACTTTTAAATGTCTGAACAACTGTGTGTCACCACTGTTCTCTGGCCTCATGGTGAGGTTTCAGGGCTCTCTCAGACCCTCCACCAGAACCTCAGTTAGCGGGGATTGTGTGCTCCCAAAGTTTAGAAAATCTTTTGGACAGTCTAGCTTCTCCTTTAGAGGGGCTACACTGTGGAACTCTCTCCCCACTGCACTGAAACTGCAGAATAATATCAACATCTTTACCAGAGAGCTTAAACAGTGGCTCAAATCGGGCCAAACTTGTTCCCATGTTTAAAACATGTCTTATCTTGTTTAATAATGTGTTTTATTGTAACCTTGTTTCCTAATGTGTTTTATCTTTGTAACCTAAAAGCCCCCTATGGACAGGTGTTGAAAATTAGCACTTGTGCTATAACACTTTAAACAATGCATCTGGTTCGTCCAATGTTAATTGCTATGTCCATATTAAATAAATAAATAAATGGAAATGGAGTTTCCTCGGTTGAATCCCCTCCGACCAATCAGAGAGCGGGGGAGGCAGGTGTTGTAGGTCGGTGTCGGTGACGTCAAGAGTTTGTGCTGAATTTGCTGGTTGTAGTTTGTCGGAGAATGCGATCGTAAAATAATCTGTTCTGGTTCAATCCAAATATCAAGAAACTGAAGCCGGAGCAAGAGGAATGTTTAGTAAATGTCATTGAAGCAAAGATGTTGTGGCTCTACTCCCCACGGGCTCTGTTAGCGGCAAAGGAGATGCTAAAGCTAGGGTAAAAGCTAAAGGTAGACAAAATTCTAGCAATTCACTCGGGCTCATTACATGTGTCAAGGTAAACTCAGATCCAATCGTTTCAATCGACAAAAGGAGTTAACCCCTCCCACCTGTCAATGGAGATGAACTAAAATTTGTACAATGGTATAGTACAGTGTCTCCCAAAGTGGGGTCCGCGGCCCCCTAGTGGGCCGCGAGGGTATTGCAAGGGAGCCGCGAGAGGTCATAAAAAAAAAAAAAGTTTTAAATAATTATTGTATGTTAAATTAATAACATTTCGTTTGTAAAATTAAAATATTTTGGTTCATTTATTGACTTGAATAATCAAATTGTAATCATTTTTGTATTACAAAAATAAATAGCCTCTGTTTATAGCAGAGGCTATTTCCCCCAAATAAAATAATGAGAAGAGTCTATTTTTAATGTTGTCTTCTTGGTTAGTATTTCGGGGGGCCGCAGAGACCCGTCAGATTTTTAGGGGGGCCGCGGTGTTACTGACTTTGGGAATGGCTGGTATAGTAAGACCCGACTACCATGAACTCACTGTTGTGCTTTGAAATGCATTGAACTGTGACGGACCAGGTGAACGTTGAACATACTGTATTAGACTCCATTTCAGGTTTTTCACATGACACTTTTTTTCAGTTGTGTTTATTGTTCCATTAAATATGAACAGATATTGATTAAAAAATTGGTTCCAAAGCAAATCATAAATCACTGAAAGCCAAAATACACAATATTATCTGCTGTATTTCTCAAACAAATGCTAAATTACAAGCCTTAAACATGCTTTTAGTGCATACATATAACGATAATATAGTTGTACTGTATTGTCCCCTTATGTAGATTACATAACATGCATTTGACCCGTCCTGAAATGCCACAAGGACCTCTGTTTCGCCGCAGACGACCAGAGAGGGGAGCTGTTCTACATTGTTTTAGTGTTCGGGAAAAGTGAGTTCACAGAGGCAGACACAGGGAGAACATGCAAACTCTGCTCAGAAAGGCCCTGTAGTCTGACCTGGATTTGGAGGACCTTTTTGCAGAGAAATAAAAGGGCTAACCACTCATCCACACTTTTAATAGTAACAAATTAAAGCCATTACTCATTTACTACATACACGGTGGTGATAAACTACCATTGTGGCCACAGTTGCCCTGGGACACACTGACAGAACCGAGGCAACCACATTCGCCCCTCTGACCACCACCTACCATTTACTCACCAGATTCATTCTACAGTGGATGAAGTGGGTGAAGTGTCTTGCCTAAGGACACAACAACCCTTTGACACTTTACAGCCGCCCTGTTCTTAGAAGTCTCCCATCACAGTACTAACCAGGCCCTGTCCTGCTTAGCTTCAGAGGTCTGACGGGATCTGCTTGTCACTCCAATGGCTTCCTACATTTCAGGAAGCCATTGGAGTGAAAACCTGAGACATGTTCAGACCACTT